CCCGCGCAGCGCCCGCATGTACATCTCCTCCGCCTCCGCCAGCTTGCCTTGGTCCGCGTACAGAAGGCCGAGATTGTTGACCGTGTCCAGCGTCGACGTGTGCTCCGCGCCCCATGCCTTCTCGTACCCGCGCAGCGCCCGCACGTACATCTTCTCCGCCTCTGCCATCTTGCCTTGGTCCGCGTACAGAAGGCCGAGATTGTTGACCGTGTCCAGCGTCGACGTGTGCTCCGCGCCCCATGCATTCTCAAACCCGCGCAGCGCCCACTTATACAGATTCTCGACCTCCTGAGACTTCTCCCAGTCATTGAGAAAGTATGCAACTTGATGACAATCTCTAGCGTGCTGCTCTTCATTCGATCGCGGCATTGCTACTCTTGCCCCGATCACTTTCGCATGTGCAGCTAACCGAAGTCCCAAGTCTCTCCCGACTCCTTGACCCAGCGATTCTGCCATGCTGGCGACAAGTCTCAACGCTGCTGCCCTAAGTTGTTGTGCTGTAGATCTATCTAAGCTGTGCAGACACCATGCATGCACGACTGGATGTATCGAGGGTGCGCGATCTGCGGTGCTCATATTCACCATCGAGTATTGGACGAGAGTTCCGATCGAGTCCTGCAGGGAGAGCTTCGTTACTGGCCCAAATGCTAAGCTCACGTCAGAACGAGCCTCTGCCTTATCGCTTTGCTCGGCTAGTACTAGCTCTACCCACACGTCGCCATGATAGAGGAATGTCCACAGGTCAAGCAGCCAGGTCGCGAGTGGGTCCGTCCTTTTCACCTGCTCATACGAAATTGTCCATGTCGTAAGTACGCTCCGTTGCCCATATTCTTGCAGTGGGAGCCGATCTTGCTTTCGCATCAATTCGGCCCACGTCCCATCGTAATGCTCTAGATAGTCCGAGACGCACATCCCTCTCGTGCGTAGATACGCTCCTGCTTGGGCGAGGGCGAGCGGAAGGCCACCCAGCCTAGGGAGCAGTTGATCGACGTCTGTTTATGTTATGCATCAGCAACGACGGTCTCTATTGTAGCGCCATCACACGAACGTACTTGGAACCACTTTGTCTGCGCGTGTCTCGAGTATCTTTTTTGCGAGCTGATCGTCAGCGATACCTAAATGAAGGCTGGCGTTTGGTCGGTGCAGTCGCATCAGACGCGTCGTGATCAAGACGTTCCCATGATTGGCGTGCGGTAGGAATTCATGATAGTCGTATGCCTGGTCGTCCGTTGTGCTGCCCTGCCACTCGCGGTCGATGTTGTCGATGACTATCAGCCAGTCCGTGTTGCCCGGGAGCGACAGCCACTGTCGGAAGTCGTTACCCAGCTGCGCGACGTCCGTCTTTGCTATCGCTTCCTGCGTACGATTTCCCGACCGCGTACCTGCGCTTGCCATCGATCGCTGCAGGGCATCTTTGGACGATCCGTCCAGCCAGAACACCGCGCTGAACCGCTCGGCATTCGTCTTGGCGAACTCGGCGCACAGCTGCGTCTTGCCCATCCCGCCCATGCCATACACCACAAACACCCGCTGCTGCTGCTTCTGTAGAGCTGGAGTTGCGAAGAACTCGGTGAGACGATGCATCTCGAGCTTGCGAGACACGAAATACTCCGTTGCTGGAATTCCTTGTAGACTGAAAGAGATTGAGAAGTCGTTAAGCGTAGCTGCATATTTACTAATCAGTAGGTGTTACGAGGATCATCTTGAGAATGATGTATCTGTTTACCTGTCACTTCACTTATCACAATTGGCGGCAGACATGAGAGCAGCTGCTTAGCGCACGCCGCCGCTGTTGCGGCCGCATAGTTCTGCCAGCCTTTGTTCTTGTGTGAGTCCGCGTAATCGCAGATGCCCCGCACCACCACCGAGGGGTATTCCTCAAACACGCCTGCGGCTTCCATCTCAAAGCAGATAACGTCGTGCTCGTCTCGAATTCGATTCCGTTCGATTGCGGAGATCTGCAGCTGGTTGCTGCTTGCGACATTCCCGAAGTGCACGCGTGGCTGGTCACAGACTCTTCTTGCCCTATCACCGCGCTGTGAGCGTGAGAGAGTCTGGGTGGCATCGCAGCGGTCTTTGCAGTCGACGCGGTGGTCGCCTCGATGCTTGTAGTCGTCCTTGAAAAGTTGGTCACAAATCTCGCCCGGGTCATCGTACTGGCTGCGTTGTTCGTCATCTAGCCGGCTGCGCATCTGTTGCAAGGTCGGGGCAATATTGGTCTGAGACCACCCTTTGCTGCGGAACTTGTTGACGGCCGCCAACAGATCGCCAGGAATTCCATTGGTATGCCCGCGATAATGCAGACGGCCATCGTCTACCCATGCTCCTTTGTCATACTGTACTACGCCGCCGTGGTGACCGCGTGGAGAGCTGATTGCGACATCGCCGAGCACAATCTGTTGTGCATCACCAGCTGGACCATAGGCTGGCACACCCCCAGCGATGCCTACAACGAGGAAGTACCTGATGTTCGGGAAGCCACTGTGCATATACCCAGCGAGGGTAGCAGCGCCGTTGAGGCCGATCTTGCGCTGCACGCCGACCACTACTTGATGCTCGCCGATGCGGCCGCCGAGGTAGTATGCGTTCTCGTGCCGGACTTCCTGATCAAGGTAGACCTCGTCGAAGACAAGCCGGGCGGCTTCCTGCTCTAGCGGCAGAGGTGAGATCCAGCCGATGGTGAAGCGACGGTTGAATGCGTTGGGAGCGGACATGTTGGAGGGAGAGGCCAACACGCGTGAGGGGCGTGCTAATTACAGGTGCTGATACATGATTATCGGCGGCAAGCCCTGTTTATAATCATACCGACGCACACGTCTACAGCTCAGCCACCACTTCGACTATATGCAGGTGTGACGGCCTCACTTTCGCATCGGTCGGGCACAGCCGCGGAACCCAGGCCGCCCGTAGATCCCATCCCCCGCATGCAGTCGATGTGGTGGCTGAGCTTGCAGATGTCTGTGAGCGCCTCAACAGATTCTGCCCAACTATTTTCGATATTGAAAACCTACAGGGCATGTTCCGTGAGTAATGCCACCCTAACTGTAGAAACGCTTGATCAAAATATCACTGATTACCGATGCGACACGCATGAGCATGTAAGGCCGCATTGGCATATATGCGCCTTGCACATCCTCCACAAGGCGGCCCCGGACAACGCGAAGGGGCCAGGCGCCCCAAGCGGAGTATAATAGAAGGACCAAGAATTTTGAACGAAATTCATTGCTGCTTCCGCTCGTGTCTCATGCAATCGTACATGATGATGGACGAATATTGTGTTACTCAGATCCGTGCGTCGCAAATGGATCGCCTGTAGAATGTGCCTGATCTCGATCGCTAATCTTCCAAGCTAGATCGTAGCACACAGCAGAGGCATGAAGTCCGACAGATGTCGTGGTCTGAATGGGTATTGATCGGTCACTTGCAAAGGTTATATGCGGCGGACTAATACGGGCCTAGGTCTCTGATGCAGTTGAGGATCAGGTCGTGTACGTCGCCAACGATAACGTGCAGTGGTAGCAGCTGTGCTGAACCAAGATCAGATTTGCCTCTACCAAATCGCTGCTTGATTTGCCCATCGCCACGCGAGAGAGTGTTATGAACAGGCTCGGCCTCCCGAGGTACTTACTAGAGCAGACGTATCTAGAGTCGAACGGCTTTGTCGGACATGATGTCCAGCATAATTCAGAGGGGCAGCTGCATGCCTACAGTAAGTATCTACACCGATCATGACTCCCGTATGTCGGGAACCAATTGTTAACCGCTCCATATTAGTGCACTGGTGTCGATTTATTGTCAAACAGACGTTCGAAAGTCTGGCCCCGAAGAGGACCTTCACTCCTTACGTTTCGCACAATGGCAAAAGTGATGGTGACGCCAGCGTATACCCCGATCTGCATGGACCACAGACTATCCAATACGGCTGGGAATGGCACAAGATGTGGTTTTTTGCTCGCTGGGAATTATCAGGCGCAAGAACATTCGTGTGTTTCAATCTACCGCCACGCACGTCCGAATACATTCAAGCAGAGCTCGTCCACCGGAACGTTCACGACCTGTCGTATCAAGATTCGCCATACTGCACTCTAGCCATTGTCGTGGAGGGCGTCATGCGGGTATATAACGAATCCGTGTGGTCGATCCGGAATCTAGTCAGTCAACGCGAGGCAGTGAGTCGTTCATCACAAGTAAGTCGTCTGCGGCTCGAGCTGACCGTGACAGAGAAGAGCTCACGACGTCGACTACGCCATCCTGCATGAGATCGCGCGGCATAGCACGCATGTTGCCGAGACGTTGACCGTAGCGACGCGGACCGTCGATTCAATCTGTTCACAACACTCACGATCCCGCCTCTGGCTTCGTAATTTCAGCGACTCGCCTCGCGATATTGGAAAGACTTCTGACGTCTGGGACGGCATCAAAGAGAAGCTGGCATTTCAACTCCGGACTCTGCAGGGTCTGGCTGACCGTTCATCCGCTACAGACGCGCGCATACAAAACGAAATTACCCTAGTGAGCATCACATCCGCCTGGCTTTCAAGCTACATCGCTGACAGCATCAGGCATTCCACGTGGCGGCACAACGCGACAGCAAGATACAGGTGCAGATCGGCAGAGATGCCGGCAAGGAAGCCGCCGCTATGAAGGCCATAGCGGTGGTGACGATGACATTTCTGCCGGCGACCTTTGTTTCCGTATGTATCCGAGACTCCTCCTCGATCTCTGATGCGGAAGCTAAACATGCTCGAACTGATAGACATTGTTTGGAATGGGCTTCTTCTCCACTCAACCGTCGGGTGGTGGGACGAGCGGGACGCTCATTGTCTCGCCAGACTTTTGGATATTCTGGGCAGTTTCCGCGCCTCTAACGGTGATCACACTCGCGTTGTGGTGGTGGTGGGATCAGCGTCGGCTGCGAAAAGATGGGAAAGACACAAGCGATAGAATGGTAGCGCGGGGAGTGTAGAAGTGTGCCGCCATCACTAACGTCTATGCCTCATTATCTTTGATCAGTCGGGTGTCCACGGTGCAGCGTCGCATCCCGGCCGCCCTCTAGTCGCCTTCAGCTATGTGCATGGCGGCGCAGCCCACACGCGAGCCCTCCCAGGGTCACCGATAATTGCTCGTGCATATTTTGGCCTCGGAGATGAGTCCACTAAAGACAGGTGCACACAGAGGATGAGCTGCCAGTGTATATCACATGTGATAATGCTAGAGCAAGACGCATTGCCGGGAGGAAATGTCGTCGCTACGTTGAAGGGGCTCAGAAGAGGCGTGCAAAGGTGGACTCTTAATGCGCAAGATGTGGAAGCGTTCCTGACCCAGGTAGCTCTCCGAAACCAAATTTTCCATGCAACATATTTTCATGTCGACGCAAAATGAGGATTCCTAAGCAGACGCGAGTTGATCATTCTTGTTCTAAAAAACAATCCGTGTTTGTTGAGGCATGAGACAGGTTTAAGCACCCAGCCATACTGTCGACGTCGGCGGCTTAGGCATTATAGACCCTTATTGTACGCGTACTTGAGCAATGCTCCCAATGTGTCTCTTTACTTTACCTGTCTTTTGATGTGCATTTGATCTAGGGAGTCGTCCGCGGTGGAGACAGTCACTGTACATATATTCTGACATCGCTATGCTGTGATCTCTGCGGCGACTGGTGGTTACCGAAATGGACAGAGTGTGAACTTACGACTGTGATAGCGGCCTGTCTGAATGACCGGCTTTGTAGACCACAGTGGTTTCCAAGCCTTCAGTGTGGACAGGTGTGCTCGGCTAGATTACGGAGGCGCATAGCATAGCTCTTCGAAGATTCTCGGCCGCCCGCATGACTCAGCAATTGCAATTCGAAAACGATATCATGAACGCCGGCAGCGGCAGCGCTCGGGATTGCGCAACACCGCCTTAGACGGAGCAAGACTGATGGCAGAGATACAGTAGAAGCTAAGCAGCCTGTATGGAGTCGCAGTTCTGCATATTAGTCAGAATTACGTCCATCTATGGCGATCGGCTGAGGGGCTCGGATTTTGGGCGAGAGTAGAATCGATCACAGCGTTCGCAAGGCAAGGCTGATCTTGACATGAAAGCTGTGGCGGAATACTAGCATCCTGATCTACAGTTCAGATGCGGTGTTATGGATGAATACGTGTGTGGCGGAGTGTTATCGATGAAAGTCGTCGACGCCGGCTCGTCACACAGGGTGGCTCGCGATGCCGGGAGGTACGTTACTTGTCTACTTGCCCACCTCCGTGATAGGACCGCCGTCCCTCTCCTTGTCCCCCTCCCTCGTACACAGATCGGGAAGAAACGACCATGGCTCAGCCTCGTGGGAGGGAATGTCCGAGCCGGTGCTTCCCTTCCGGTCGTCGTCGTCGCCGTCGCAGAAGCCCTATCGGTGGTCATCGGTCAGCGTCGATGGGAGGAGCATGTCGATCGACCCTACATATGTACGGGCTTGTTATTATTACTATACTCCTTTCTTTCTTTCCTACCCTAGAGAGACGGAACACCTCTATGGTTTTCATCTAGCCCGGGATGCATGGTGGAAAGTCTACACCATCATCTTCACCATCATCACGTTCATCATCTTTCACGTCCGTCGATCCCGCACCGCATCGTCTCGGCTCGCGTCGATCTCCCTTCTCCATCTCG